TTTTTTTTTTTTCAATCTCAATCTTGTTTGATTAAAATTTATGCTCAAAACAAGAAAATAATTTTGTTCATTCAACAAGTGAATAAGTTAACCAAACGATTAAGACTGAAAATAAAGGAGGATTAGAAGCCTTAGAAGCATCTGTGCTTAATTAATAGTTACGTTAGCAACACACATCTATGCTTTCAACTCGATACAGTATTAGTGTCTAAAGTCGTCTCGTTTCGTTGATGTCCTATCAGCAGTATGAATCTGAATATCTGTTTGACCAATACTATTTTCCACCAACTGCTCGAACTACCTATACAGCAACTTTTGTACCGCAATGTGACCTGTACGGTGGATGGCCAACAGAAACAGCACTTTGTAGCTCAACAGCATTAGCACCAGAAGCTAATTTACACTGGCGTGAAGTACCCGCTAAACAGGAGCCAACAACAGTTTTTCCGTGGGTGGATGCATCTAGTTGTAGCAGCGTTAATGCAGCTGGATCTGAAACAGTTTTTGAGGTTACACCGGAAGAAACTCGAATGCATTCATGTCCAACATGTCATAAGCAGTACTGTCGTAAAGGAACGTTGAAAGCTCATCTAAAGCAGCATTTTGGTCATCGCCCATTTATTTGTCAGGCCAGTGTTCCAACAAAATCTTCTTTTTCTTCTTCATACTTATGTCATCAAATTTTTGCGTTTTTTGTTTTTCCTAAATTTTTGTCTACTCTTAAGAAAATAAAAATTTAATATTAAGCTTTTGTGTCTAAAAATGTAAAATCATTTATTTATTTGATAGGATAAAAAAGTTTAATAGAACAGAAACCTGCATTATCGTTTTCATTTTCTTACTGCTTTATCAGAGAGGCAAATTTACAGCAGTAATGTGTTCCTTTTGAGTTCAAACCGATAATTTACTTCTCATATAAAAGCAATATTTTAACTATTTTCTGAGGTATATAACAATCGATAACAATAATAAATTTATTAATATTTTAGATAGTTTTCTAAAACTAAACTATAAAAAAATAAATAAATAAATTCTTTTTTGTATCTAATAAAAATTCAGATTTTTTTTTTTTCAGTATACAGTAATCTTCTATAAAATGTTAATCTTTTCTTTTTTTTTCTCCAAATTGATTGTCACTAAACCACAATTGACCATATAACCATTAATTAATTCTGCTGTTGATACACCTGTAATGTTGTCACCTAAAAACAGGTGTATTCGGGATTGTATTTGGCATAACTGTAAAGCAGTTTATAGAATTAATAATCAATGTTTTGCTCAATAAAAATTATTATTGCAATGTGCATAAAAAGTAGTTTTTGGTACATTTGTAGTGTCGTGTAAATTTTACAAAAAATTATACTATAGTAAGCTAAATTTTATGGCATCACTTTATACCTAATTTATTGTTAATTTTATATTAAAAATAATTTGTAGGTGTGTGGAAAAAGTTTTTCTCAAGCAGCCAATTTAACAGCACATAAAAGAGTTCATACAGGTGAGTGTATCAAAGTGGTAAAATTTTATTTACAGCTATTTAAGAAATCAACGACTTTTGCTCTGTTTTCTTCTTTTTTTTTTGTCCTTAAACTTTTATAGATCAGATATGATATTAATCTGTTGATATTCAATTCAACATTTGAAAGACTAATTGTTTTTTTTTTCTTCTTCTTTTTTTTTTTTTTCTTATAAATTGAATATTTCCAACATTTATGACTTATAAACTGTTGACCTTTTTAAAGAGAAATATCAATAAATAATACAACTAAAAATTAAGCTCTACTTCTTATTTCCGGATTTTTTTTTTTTCTTTTTAGATTTTAGTCTTATAAAATTGTTCATTTTTTTCCTAAAAATAACACAGGTGATATTAATAGAAAAAGCAGAAGAAAATTTTTTCAATGTTTTTACGTCAAATTTATAGGTTTTCAAAGTTTTTTTTTTTTTGATAAAATATCAGACGCACAAAACATACGTATCAATGAAACGAATACAGTATCCCAATGTTTAGTCTATTTGCATGCATTTTTTTTTTTTTTTTTGCTTAATCTTTTCTGACCAATACATTTGGCTCAGTGATCAAACAACAGATATATCATTAAAAACAACAATAAATTTAATTGAATTTATTGTGTAAACTTTCAACAAAGATCACATTTGATT